ATAAAAAAAAGATAGATAGAAAAAATGAAAGATAAAAATAAAAAAAAAATAGATAAATAAATAAAAATAGAAAAAAAAGATAATAAAAAATAAAGAAAATAAGATAATAGATAAATAAAATAAAAAAAAAAAAATAAAAGAAGATAGATAATAAAAAAAAATAAATAAATAAATAAAAAATAGATAATAATAAATAAAAAAAAATAGATATAGATAGATAAAAAATAATAGATAAAAAGAAAAAAATTAGATAGATAATAAAATAGATAGATAGAAAATAAATAAAAAAAAAAAAAAAAATAGATAGAAAGATAATAAAAAAAAAATAGATAAGAAAGATAGAAAAATAAATAATAAAAAAAATAGAAAAAAAAAATAGATAGATAAATAAATAAAATAATAGAAGTAAGAAAATAGAAAGAAGATAAAAAAAATAGATAAAAAGATAGATAGAAAATAATAGATAATAAAAAAAAATAAAAAATAGATAGATAAAGATAAATAAAAAAAAAATATAAAATAAAAAATAATAATAAATAATAAAAATAATAGATAAAGATAAAAAAAAAAAAAAAAAAAAAGATAAAAAAAAAATAAAGAAAAAAATAGAAAAAAAAAAAAAAAAAAAAAATAAATAAAATAAAAAAAAAAAAAAAATAATAAAAATAGATAGAAAAAAAATAATAAAATAAAGAAAAAAAAATAAAAAAAGAAAAAAAAAAATAAAAATAAAAAAAAAGAAAAAAAAAAATAGATAAAAAAATAAATAATAATAGAAAGAAAAAAAAAAGATAATAAAAAAAGAAAAAAAAAATAAAAAATAAATAAAAAATAAATAGATAGATAATAGAAAGAAAAAAAATAGATAAAAATAATAATAATAAAATAAATAATAAAAAATAAAGATAGATAAGATAGAAAAAAAAAGAAAAATAGAAAAAATAATAAAATAGAAAAGAAAAAAATAGATAAATAAATAGATAAAAAGATAGAAAGATAGATAGATAGATAGATAAAAGAAAAAAAAAAAAGATAATAAAAAATAATAAAAAAAAAAAAAAAAAAAAAGATAGATAGATAATAAAATAGATAGATAGAAATAATAATAAATAAAAAAAAAAAGATAATAGATAAATAAAAAGATAGAAATAAAAAAAATAATAAATTTAGAAAAAAAATAAATAAATATAAAGATAGATAGATAATAAAAAAGATAGATAGAAAAAAAATAATAGATAAAAAAAATAAAAATAGATAGATAGAAAAATAGAAAAATAGATAGATAAAAAAAGATAAAAGATAATGATAGATAGAAGATAATAATAGATAGATAAATAGATAGATAATAGATAGATAGATAGAAAGATAAATAAAAGATAGATAATAGATAGATAGATAAATTAAATAAATAGATAGAAAGAAAAAAAGATAGAAAATAATAGATAGATAGATAATAAATAGATAATAATAGATAGAAAAAAAAATAGATTAGAAAGATAGATAGATAGATAGATAGATAGATAGATAAAAATAAAAAAAAATAAAAAAAGAAAAAGATAAAAAATAGAATAGAAAAGATAATAGAAAAAGAAAAAGAAGATAAAAAGAAGATAGATAGATAGAAATAGATAAAAAAATAAAAAATATGGATAATAGATAAATAGATAAAGAAATAAAATAGAAAAAGATAATAATAGATAGATAAAAGATAGAAAAAATAATAGATAAAAAAAAAAAAATAGATAGATAGAAAAAATAGATAGATAAAAATAGATAGATAAATAGATAAAGATGATAGATAGATAGATAGATAGATAGATAGATAATAGATAGATAGATAATAATAAAATAAAATAGATAGAAAATAATAGATAGATAATAGATAGATAAATAAATAGATAGAATAGATTGATAGATAGATAGATAGATAGATAGATAGATAGATAGATAGATATAAAAAATAAATAGATAGATAGATAGATAATAGATAGATAAAAAAGTAGAAAAAAAAATAAATAAAAGAAAGATAAAAATATAGAAAATAGAAAAGATAGATAGATAGAAAAAAGAATAGATAGATAGAAAAAAAAAAAAAAAAATAATAGATAGATAAAAGATAGATAGATAGATAGATAATAGATAGAAAGATAGATAGATAGATAAAGATAGATAGATAGATAATAATAGATAATAATAGATAGATAAAAAGATAGATAGATAAAATAGATAATAGATAGAAAATAGATAAAATAGATAGATTAGATAAAGAAGAATAGATAGATAGATAGAAAAAAATAGATAGATAAATAGATAGATAAATAGATAAATAGATAGATAGATAGATAGATAGATAGATAAATAGATAAATAAATAAATAATAGATAGATAAATAATAGATAAAAATAGAAATAAAAGATAAAAATAGATAGATAGATAGATAGATAGAAAGATAGAAATAATAGATAGATAGATAGATAGATAAAATAATAGATAAGATAGATAGATAAAGTTAGATAGATAGATAGATAGATAGATAAATAGAAAAGAAAGAAGAAAGATAATAGATAGAAGATATAAATAAATATAGATAGATAATAATAGATAGATAGATAGATAGATAGATAGAAGATAGATAGATAGATAGATAGATAGATAGATAGATAGATAGATAAAATAATAAATAGATAGAAAGATAGATAATAGATAGATAATAGATAATAGATAAATAGATAGATAGATAGATAGATAAAAAATAGATAGATAGATAAATAGATAAATAGATAGATAAATAGATAATAATAGATAGATAAAATAGATAATAGATAAATAGATAGATAGATAATAGATAGATAGATAGATAGATAGATAGATTTAGATAGATAGATAATAAATAGATATAATAATAATAAATATAATAGAGATAGATAGATAGATAGATAGATAGAAAGATAGATAGATATAAATAGAAGATAGAGATAGATAGATAAAATAATAATAATAGATAAAAAAAAGATAGATAGATAGATAGATAGATAGATAGATAAAAAATAGATAATAGATAATAATAAAATAATAATAATAGATAATATATAGATTATAGAAAAATAGATAGATAGATAGAAAAAATAGAATAAATAGAAAATAGAAGATATAAAATAGATAGATAGATAGATATAATAGATAGATAATAGATAGATAATAATAAATAGATAGATAATAAATAGATAGATAGATAGATAGATAGATAATAGATAGATAATAAAGATAGATAGATAGATAATAGATAGATAATATAAAAAAAAGATAGATAGAAAAATAATGAAATAATAATAGATAATAGATAGAAAAAATAGAAAAATAATATAGATAGATAGATAGAAAATAAGATAGATAAATAAAAAGATAGAAAATAGAAATAGAAGATAAAAAATAGATAAAGATAGATAATAAAAAAATATAAAATAATAGATAGATAGATAAATAGATAGATAGATAGATAGAAAAAGACAGATAATAGAATAGATAGATAGAAAAGATAGAAAATAGATAAATAAAAATAATAGATAGATAGATAAAATATAATAATAGATAGATAGATAGATAGATAGATAATAGATAATAGATAGATAAAAATAGATAGAAGATAGATAATAGATAGATAGATGATAGATAAATGATAGATAATAAATAATAAGATAGATAAAATAGAAGATAGATAATAAATAAATAGATAAATATAGATAATAAAAATAGATAAATAATAGAAAAATAGATAGATAGATAGATAGATAGATAATAGATAGATAGATAGAAATAATAATAAAAAGATAATAGATAGATAGAAAGAAAAATAGATAGATAAAAATAAAAAATAGATAGATAGATAAAAGATAGATAGATAGATAATAAATAGATAATAGATAGATAATAGATAGATAGATAGATAGATAGATAAAAAATAAATAGATAAATAGATAAATAAAAAATAGATAATAGATAATAGATAATAATAATAGATAAAAAATAGATAGATAGATAGATAAAGATAGATAGATAGATAGATAGATAGATAAAAGATAATAATAGATAGATAGATAGATAGATAGATAAAAAAAATTGAAGAAAAGATAATAATAATAGATAGATAATAAAAATAGATAGATAATAGAAAGATAATAATAATAGATAATAGATAAAAAGATAAATAATAGATAGATAGATAATAAAATAGATAGATAAATAGATAGATAATAATAGATAGATAGATAGAGATAGATAGATAATAGAGATAGATAGATAATAGATAGATAAATATAAAAAATAGATAGATAGATAGATAGATAGATAATAATATAATGAAATAGATAGATAATAGATAGATAAAAGATAAAAATAGATAGATAGATAAAATATAATAGATAGATAGATAGATAATAATAGATAGATATAAATATAATAAAATAGATAGATAGATAATAGATATAGATAGATAGATAGATAGATAGATAGATAGATAGATAGATAATAGATAGATAGATAGATAATAGATAGATAATAGATAGATAGATAGATAGATAGATAAATAGATAGATAGAAAAAGAAAGATAATAGATAGATAGATAGATAGATAATAGAAAATAAATAGATATAGATAATAGATAGATAGATAATAGAAAATAGATAATAATGATTAGATAATAGATAGAAAAAAATATAGATAATAGATAGATAATAAATAGATAGAAAATAATAATAGATAGATAGATAGATAATAGATAGATAGATATAGATAATAGATAGATAATAGATATACAGCCATTTATTGCAATTGTCTCTTGACTGATTGATACTTTTAGCAAAATAATAATAATAATTATAATAATACACTATTAGCTATTTGCTGACTGCAGATAGCCGATTGACGGCTGCACTGCGGCTGGCCAGTTCTGGGAATTCGTCATATGACGTCCTCCCAGAACGCGCTCTCCTGCGCGCCCCTACGGACACAGCCGATCACTTGATGTGGTAAAAGGCCAATCACAGCAGCCATTTACCATGTGATCAGCCGTGTCCAATGACACACTGATCACCGGGAAATACAATTGCCAGTTCTCAGCTGCACTTTCCTCACACTGTCAGAGTGCCTTGATGATCAGTGCCCAGCAGTACCACCTGCCAGTTCCACCCACCTGTGTCCATCAGTGCCACCCACCTGTGCCCATCAGTGCCACCCATCTGTGCCCATCAGTGCCACCCAGCAGTGCTGCCAGTCAGTGCCCAGCAGTTGCGCTAGTCAGTGCCGCCTATCCGTGCCACCAAATTAGTGCCGCCTATCCATGCCACCTCATTAGTGCCGCCTATCAGTGCCCATCAGTGTTGCTTATCAGTGCTGCCTATCAGTGCCCATCAGTGTTGCCTATCAGTGCTGCCTCATCAACGCACATCAGTGAAGGAGAAAAATTACCTGTGTGCAAAATTTTATAATAGAAACAAAGAATCTTTTTTTTTCAAAATTTTTGCTCTTTTTTTGTTTATAGCGCAAAAAGTAAAACACTCAGCGGGGAGTAAATACCACCAAAAGAAAGCTCTATTTGTGAGAAAAAAATTATAAAAATTTTATATGGGTATAATGTTTGGATGACTGCGCAATTGTCATTCAAAGTGCGACAGCGCTGAATGCTGAAAATTGGCCTGGGGGGGAAGGGGTATAAGTGCCCGGTAGGCTAGTGGTTAATAATAATAGATACTGTAGACAGACAGACATTTCATTGCAATTATCTCTTGACTGATTGATACTTTTAGCAAATAATAATAAATAAATACTGCTACTACTACAAATAATAATAATAGTAATAATAATAATAACAAAAAGAAAAATAATAATACATCATAAATATGAGTGAATTTAGTAGCAGGATTGATGTCTGATGTATCTCTAGTCCTAAGCTGATCCAGGACTGGCTAGTTGGACCTCGCGGTGTCCTCTCCATTCCAGGACTGGCTAGTTGGACCTCAGGACTGGTGTCCGGTGTCTCCATTCCAGGACTGGCTAGTTGGACTTCACACGGTGTCCTCTCCATTCCAGGACTGGCTAGTTGGACTTCACGGTGTCCTCTCCATTCCAGGACTGGCTATTTGGACATTGCGGTGTCCTCTCCATATCAGGACTGGCTAGTTGGACCTCGCGGTGTCCTCTCCATTCCAGGACTGGCTAGTTGGACCTCGCGGTGTCCCTCTCCATTCCGGTGTCCTCTCCATTCCAGGACTGGCTAGTTTGGACCTCGCGGTGTCCTCTCCATTCCAGGACTGGCTAGTTCGCGGTGATTCCAGGACTGGCTAGTTGGACCTCGCGGTGTCCTCTCCATTCCAGGACTGGCTAGTTGGACCTCGCGGTGTCCCTCTCCATTCCAGGACTGGCTAGTTGGACCTCGCGGTGTCCTCTCCATTCCAGGACTGGCTAGTTGGACCTCGCGGTGTCCTCTCCATTCAGGACTGGCTAGTTGGACCTCGCGGTGTCCTCTCCATTCCAGGACTGGCTAGTTGGACCTCGCAATGTCCTCTCCATTCCAGGACTGGCTAGTTGGACCTCGCGGTGTCCTAGTTGGACCTCGCGGTGTCCTCTCCATTCCAGGTAGACCTGGCACTGTTCTACTCATCGCTCTCACGCCGACTCGTTCTCGTTGTTCTCCTCCGTCACCTCGGTGACTTCACACTCACAGAACAGAAGAGTTCGCTCTTTACAAACGTTCTCGGTGAGCGATCTCCTCCCCGGGAGGTAAACAGTTCTGACTGCAGCCGCCGTACACTGGAAGTCTGAAAGGAATTCGGAGACATGGAGCCAATGTAGCGGGAAGGTGTCAGAGAGAGAAGCGCCAACAATGGATTTCCAGCACGCGCTTTATACGCCGCAATGTGCAGAACCTGTTTTTGCTGCCTTTTTTTTTTTATTGCTTTTTGTCTTTTTTCTGTTAGAGAAATACAATTCTGAGCACATTTGTTACATGAGAAATATCCTTCATTGAAATGATGAGCAGCCACAGCTAAGAGAGCAAATCCACACAGCTGAGTGTGTTGGGGACCTGTGAACAGATCGGCGGCGACTCGCCGTTTTATCGAGAAAGTAGCATTAACCACTCGCCGCTCGCTCACACACACGTATATATATATCAGCATTTTTTTTTTTGCTATAAAGTTACTTAGAACCTCGAAACACGACAGATTTCCTGAAGGCAGAGGCCCTGCAGAATAAAATGGCGGCTGTTGCAACTTTTTATGCTGCACAATATTTGCGCAGCTGTTTATGAAATGCAAATTCTCAGGAGAAGATACAGTCAACGGAATTTTAGTGCGCACAAACACAATATAATACCCGGCGTGTCTGGTGAAATATAAACGCTGATGCTGTGTCGAGTAAGTAGTAGATACCGAACATGTCAAAGTTTAAAATGGCGCTGACTCATGAAATGGCGACAAACTTCGGGAACCTAAAGTCGTCCATAGGTAATGATTTAAAAGGCATTACAGGCCATCAGTTTTGGGTCAGTTCTGAATTTTGGCCGTAGAATCAGAACAGTCCCTCCCATGTTTGTGGCGATACCTCAGGCGTGGTGCCGTCACCGCTGACATGCCGGAACAAGGGGCACATTTGTGTCTATGCACAGGCAGACAGGGGGGCTTTCACATTTGTTTTTTAAACTCAATTTATGTAAATGTATATTTTGCCCTTTTTTTGCATTTTAATGTATTGCCTTGCGATAGCTTTGGATGGAGTCAGGTACTCCTTATAGAGACATAAAGACTGACTCTGATTGGCCGTAACAGTCAGAGAGTGAAAGTTCTGAAACCAGAAATGATCAATTCCCCATCACTTCCGGTGTCAGAGCTTTCATTCCCTGACTGTCAGGGCCAGGGGGGGGGGGGGCAGCTAAATGAGCCGGACCTGAGATGCTTCTTCTCCCTTCCCTCCCGCTGGATTTCAGCTGCTGCAGAGAAACCCACATGGAAGAAAAATATTTGAAATACTAAAATTTTGGCCATATTCAATATATTTCAAAATATATATATTTAAAAAAAAAATATATATATATATATATATATATATATATATATATATATATACTCCATGTTGAAATAAATTTTTATTACAAAATATAAGTAAAATGTTTAAAAATATATATATTTTTTAAATATATTCTTCAGATTTTTTAATTTTAACATATATTTTTACATATATTTGTAAACGCATTCCAAAAATGTAGATTTGTATTTTTAAAGACATTTTTCATATATTTTGCAATAAAAAACGTATTTCAACATGATATATATACACAGTGGGGCAAAAAAGTATTTAGTCACCACCAATGGTACAAGTTCTCCCACTTACAGAGATGAGAGAGGCCTGTAATTGGCATCATAGGGAGACCTCAACTATGAGAGACAAAATGAGAAAACAAATCCAGACAATCTCATTGGCTGATCTGGAAAGAATTTATTTGCAAATTATGGTGGAAAATAAGTATTTGGTGACCTACAAACCAGCAAGATTTCTGGCTCTCACAGACCTGGACCTTCTTCTTTAAGAGGCTCCTCTGTCCTGCACTCATTACCTGTATCAATGGCACCTGTTTGAACTTGTTATCAGTATAAAAGACACCTGTCCACAACCTCAAACAGTCACACTCCAAACTACACTATGGTGAAGACCAAAGAGCTGTCGAAGGACACCACAAACAAAATTGTAGACCTGCCCCAGGCTGGGAAGACTGAATCTGCAATAGGCAAGCAGCTTGGTGTGAACAAATCAACTGTGGGAGCAATAATTAGAAAATGGAAGACATACAAGACCACTGATAATCTCCCTCCATCTGGGGCTCCACGCAAGATCTCACCCCGTGGGGTCAAAATGATCACAAGAACGGTGAGCAAAAATCCCAGGACCACACGGGGGGACCTAGTGAATGACCTGCAGAGAGCTGGGACCAACGTAACAAAGGCTACCATCAGTAACACACTACGCCGCCGCCAGGGACTCAGATCCTGCAGTGCCAGACGTGGCCCCCTGCTTAAGCCAGTACATGTCCGGGGCCCGTCTGAGGTTTGCTAGAGAGCATTTGGATGATCCAGAAGAGGATTGGGAGAATGTCATATGGTCAGATGAAACCAAAATAGAACTGTTTGGTAGAAACACAACTCGTCGTGTTTGGAGGAGAGAGAATGCTGAGTTGCATCCAAAGAACACCATACCTACTGTGAAGCATGGGGGTGGCAACATCATGCTTTGGGGCTGTTTCTCCACAAAGGGACCAGGACGACTGATCCATGTACAGGACAGAATGAATGGGGCCATGTATCGTGAGATTTTGAGTGCAAACCTCCTTCCATCAGCAAGGGCATTGAAGATGAAACGTGGCTGGGTCTTCCAACATGACAATGATCCCAAACATACCGCCCGGGCAACGAAGGAGTGGCTTCGTAAGAAGCATTTCAAGGTCCTGGAGTGGCCCAGCCAGTCTCCAGATCTCAACCCCATAGAAAACCTTTGGAGGGAGTTGAAAGTCCGTGTTGCCCAACGACAGTCCCAAAACATCACTGCTCTAGAGGAGATCTGCATGGAGGAGGAGATCTGCATGGAGGATGGGCCAACATACCAGCAACAGTGTGTGCCAACCTTGTGAAGACTTCCAGGAAACGTCTGACCTCTGTCATTGCCAACAAAGGATATATAACAAAGTATTGACATGAACTTTTCATATTCACCAAATACTTATTTTCCACCATAATTTGCAAATAAATTCTTTCCAGATCAGCCAATGTGATTGTCTGGATTTGTTTTCTCATTTTGTCTCTCATAGTTGAGGTCTCCCTATGATGCCAATTACAGGCCTCTCTCATCTCTGTAAGTGGGAGAACTTGTACAATTGGTGGGGACTAAATACTTTTTTGCCCCACTGTATATATATATTGAATACGGTCAAAATTGTAGCATTTCAAATACATGTCAATATATTTGGGAAGAATATTTTTAAAATACAATTCAAATATATTTTTCTTCCATATGGGGGAGGGGGGCGGGGCCCAGGCAGCTGGGTGAATCGGATGTGGGCAGGGAGGATGATCAGCACAGTGGGGGAAGGGACAATTTTTGGAACCGATCCCCTGTATGGCTCTCTCTGCTTTCTCCCCCCTCCCCTTCTGGCTGGATTTAGCTGCTGCACAGAGACCAATACGGGGGATCGGTTCCAGTGTTTGCCCCTCTGCCGCACCCATCACTCTCCTTGTTCGCCATGCATTTCGCCCTGCTGCCCAGGCCCCCCTGTGTGCCCCCCACCCCTGCAGTGCTGCCACCTTCCCTCCTCTCCTTCCCACCAACAGCTGCTAGCATGCAATAGGATCCTTCAGGATGGAGAGTGGGGGAAGGGCCCTGCAAATATGTCCCATTTACCAGCCCCTTCCTTTCCTGAATGAACACAAGGAGTTAT